GGGGGAGGGAGCGAATAACCCGAATAACACCAATATTTTATCTCTTCTGTTATATGTCGAAATATATTTCTACTTCTATATTTAATTTCTTTTCATATTTTTTCTTTACAAATATGAATATTTTTTCTTTTAATTTTGTCTCGATATTACGCAAAAACTAGCTCGTTTAAATAATTATAATATTTTTTAAAAAATTGTTTTTAAATACCCCGAATTTAGGGTGTGGAATTCCACACCCACGGGGTCTCTGGGTGTGGAAAGTCTCCGTTCCTGATTAAAATCTATATTTTAAAACATTTTATAAAACGAAGAAAATGAAAAGTTTATCACTTTAAGTTTAGACTTTATTTTTTTCAAAATGTGGATTAGCCCATCGTTGAAGCAAGCTCTTCAATTATAGTCGACGGAATCCTGACTCACATACACTTTGAAGTACGTTGCAGACCCTTCTGAGATATATCATTTCAAAGTTTTCTACTTTTTAAACTTAAAAATATCATATCTTAAGTGTAATGTAGGTACATATATAACTTGATTTATCAGTTTTAATAATTTTGATTTTGACATATGTGCGTGCGTGAACGGGGAAAGGGCTTCGTCCCTTCGCCTGCACTCCCACCCCGACAAAAGTACAATCTAAATCAAATCTATTTTTTATTTGAAACTAAAATCAAACCATATTTAATATTACACTTGAAATACTTATTATGTTTTCAAGTTTAAAAAGGAGAAAACTTTGAAGTGGTACGAGTATATCTCAGAAACTAGAAATTCGCAAAACATGATCCAAAATGTATGTGGCTCTATCAATTATAATTACACGTCAAAATCAAAGTGATGGATAATTTAATTGCAATAACTCTTTCCCAAATATTTATTTCAATGTACATATATATAATATATATATAATATATATATATGTGTGTGTGTGTGTGTGTGTGTGATACAATATTGCGATAATTAAAGATACCAAATTGTTCTCGACATTAGTGATAATAATGACATACATTTTGTACAAATTAATTGCAACTGTTTATCTTGCTTCGACGTTATCTCGTCAGGTATGACGTCGCTACTTTTCGGATTTGCAAGCGGGAAAAGAGGGACATTAGGGTCGTCGAGTGTGTGTACGTGAAAGCAAACGTCATTTGCCGCGTCGCTCGCCGAGCCGCGCGCGAATGAGCGAGAGCAGGAAGTGACGAAAATGTGGACGGCAAGCGAGAGGGGGAACGCGAAGGCAACGGCATTAAATTGCAAAATAGTTTCGTGGTAAATAACGAGCGGAAAGTTCGCTTCTAGAAGATGTACTCGCGGTGTACACTCGGTAATAGACGTTTTTCTTCATGGTATATCATTACGCGGGCGCGCGTGTTCGTACAGAAACAGGATCTGATTCCCCTCGCCGCCTCGAGCAAACAAATTTCAGAACCGCCTGCGATATTTTTTTTTTCCAGTTTTTTCCCGTTATATTTTATACCAGCACATACTCGCATTTTATAGGATCTGTTAAATTAATTTGATCGCGGCCGAGAGATACATGTACATTGTACATACATATACATGCGCGGCGTAGCTAGAATAACTGCTCCGAAATTTGTGCTTTGTGTCAAACACTTTCTGAAATAACTATAATAAAAATGGAAAAAAATATTTGCGATTTTTCAAATAGTTAGCGATCGTTTGTGTCGCTTATACACGTCACGGACGTGTTCAACAAGTTCGACAGATTCGATATACAATTTTTGAAATTAAAATATTGGATTGCATATAGAATTTTTTAAGATTTCTTAAATGCGTGCGGTATATATATAACGCCACAAAAGATTATGTGCAGCAAATACAATTTCAAACGAATCACCCGATATATAAACCGTTTCATCCCCTCGAGAATTTCCCTTATCCGAAACCTACAGACACCACGAACTACCGAATCGAATTTAATTACCGATGTGCAGATATTTACTTCGTAAACTACGTAGGAGAGCGGGAGAGCCAAATGGAAGGACGAGCGGCGAGCTCGTTAAAAATTTAATTTTATACGACGACAGCCGTCTCCCCCAGCTTCTCCGAGCTTCCAGCTGTCTGTCACAAAGGTCATCCAAGATGGCGGGACACCCGTCCGACAACACGATCCGCGGGATTCGTTTTCTAATTAAATCTTTTTCATAATTTTGTAATCTGGTTTCAATGCGCTGCACCAGTATATTCCGCGTATATACTCGTTATAAAAATGCAATCTCGTGTGCGTTACATACGCTCGCAAAAAAGTAATCTCCCGCGTTACTTTTTACCTCACGCTAGTTTATCTCATCGATGTTAATGCACATTTTATTCGCATTTATGAGTTAGGATTATATTATACGTCGAATTACGACGCTTTGTCTATATTGATCGGTCTTACGATGCGATACGAAGTAAGAGAAGGATTAAGATTACACGAAACTGTAAAAAGTTAAAAATTCTCCGCGTTATTTTCTGAACCATTCGGGAATTAACGTTTGGAGGAACTATGGCACACAGGTGCGGCGGTTCCCGCAAAATTTTTGAGACACATATCGATTCGCGGCGGACGCGCGAATTACAGATCAAGAACTTCATAGATTCACCCTCTCCCGCAAAACGATATTGCTTGTTTCGCAACGAAATCTATATCGCGGATAATAGTGAGACTATAAGCTACTTCCCGGGGTTTCGACCAAAACAAGTTTGCGGACGGATATGCGCTTATACTAGACCGCAAGGGGTTAAAGCGATTTCCGTTAGTCATAGAAACGCCAGACTCGAGTAAGCCCGTCCGCTCAGTTTCAAGCAAACCGCCGAGCTCGTTCGCCTTTTAAAAGTTTTCAGCTATTGCCGGGGACCGCGATTCTCTCTCTCTCTCTCTCTCTCTCTCTCTCACGCTGGCATTTTCAATAACTTTATAATGCCCCGCAGGCGGAAGACCGCAGCGATGAATATAATTGTACCGAAGTTTGGACAGTTTGCAGTTATTTCTCGTGATGTCAAGGAAACGGGGAGGAGGGGAGGGGGGAGAGGGGAGTGGTGGATATAAAAAATGCACGACCTATTTCCATTAACTATCATTTGTATCCCTTCGTCAAAAGCTTAACGAGTTGATCCGGAAATTGTATTGTCAAGCTCGAAAAACCGAGAAGAGTTTTACGAGCTTGACAATAATACAATGGAAAACATCCATACTGGAAAGATAGATTGTCTGAATTAAAAGAATGAGAATTAATGTAAAAATTAAAAGTACAGCAATAAACGTAATGCAGATCCATTATTAATCGCTTGAAATGACGTAGCAAATAAGTTGCGAATGCGCTTGGAATGACTCGCGCGAGTCTCTCACAAAAGCGAACCGCAAACTTTAATCCTCTCTCGCCGCAGTAAATATCTATAAGCAATTTGCTGTTTTATGCTTAATGAGCGAGAGCGAGACGGGGCGACCGGGACGAGTTGTTGGCACCCACCGCGGATTTCCATTCCCCGAGTATCACGATTACATTTGCATTTAAGGTGCTTCAATTAGTGCGCGGAGACACAGCCTCCGCGTAATGACGAAAAAGAAAGAGCCCGTGCCTTACGCGCGACGCCGTTTCTTCCCCCGGACTCTCCCGTTCCTCTTTCCTTTCTTTTTTTTTTTAAACCGCGATCGTAATTATCCCGGTACTAGTTGCCGAGTGGCAATCGCGAACGTGGTAGAGCCCGTTACTTTTCCTCGACTCCCTTTGCTCATATACTGCTTGTTAAACTCGGTTAAGTGAGTGACATGTAAAGAAATGTATACGCATTACGCGTAATTAGGCAGTTTCGCGCGCGTAACTTCGTTCTGTGACTTTTATAATGAGGGATTATAGGATATTAATTTTTTATTCTCCCTTGAGTGATCCGCGCGTACACAAGCCCGTCCTATCGTCGTCCTGTCTGTAAAGCATATATAGTACTAAAACGTTTACTGACAAGTGAGTTTACTTGACAATGACAAATTAATAAGTTGATTTAGGATTTCTTTAATCCAAGGGGTATAAAAGAATGTCTCATCCATGTAAAAATGTACACATTTAAATATGTAAATTCATCAAATTTATATTTTTACGCTATGTTATTTTTACATGAATAAGGAACTTTTTACACATCATAGATTTGCAGGATTTTATCGTACTGCGAATATACGTGCGTCATTATTAATTTTTTCGCACAATCTTTGGCAAATTTCGAATTTGTTTTTCTTCCAAATGTCGACTTCTCGAATTCATTGTATTCGAAGTGATTTGAGAGCGAAGAAATTGATAGATAACTAATTTTAATACTACGAAAAGAATTCTGTGTAACATTTACCATGAATTATTAACAGTTGCGTGTCGTTCTTTCAGCTAATAATTCCCAAAGTTCCTCGCTAATCGCTACAAGCAGGCTATTGTCCAAAAGCTTAGAGAATCGAGTATTACATCTCGTAAAACTCGTCGGACGGCATCTAATAAAGTATCTCGCACTCCCCTAGAATCAACAAAGTTTCATTAAAAGCGACCTAGCCCAGCCCACTGCGAGTCGCCGTAAATGAGTATCTCCCCGTGCACGTATACGTATCTCAAATCGATTTCCATCGAATTACCGAGTCTATCCTCCCTCGAATTCAATTCTTCGGATCCTCCGAATGTAGGTACTCCGCGTATACGAAAACGAAGCGGAGGTAACTTGTATTTACGTCTTCCCGCGCCACTTTCCTCGCACTCGAGCGGCAATGTGAGTTTACACTCGTCCGAATAGCACGTAGCGGTATTGCAATCGTGTCAATATACGTCTCTTAACGATACACGTTCGCGAATTACTCGGCTCAGATATGTAGGTGAGTCTCCTGTCCTTTTCAATTTGCAAATCTTACAACTGTAACGTAATTTATTTCTTAAATTGGATCTTAAAGTTTATCCGTATCCTCTGTATTTTCGGAACATTCGAAAACATGGAAAAATATTTAAACATTGTTTCTTTATTTTGAGGGACTAAGCTTTTCATCAAAAAAATTTTTTTTTCCATCCTCTCTCTCAGGCAAGAGGTGGAGGATAACTCAAAAACTTTAAATGACAAGGCGATAATATCTTCTTGAAAAGATTTTGTTAAAAGAAAAATTTTTATGTAAGTTTGGATTTGCTACATTTTGAGTCTATTATAAATAATGAATAATTAAATTTGAAAAACGATACTTGTACTCTTATTTTTTACTCAGATTAGTATGTAGACAATATAATTCGAAATGCTCAAATGTTGATCTCAGAATAACCTATCGTATTCTATTTTTACGTTCAAATTTAGTTTTCTTAAAAAGAATTTCAAGTGCTCTAAAAGAAACCCAATATGTGTGTGTCTAAACTTTTGTTACTTTTTCAAAGAGAACAAACAGCTTAGAATCTCCAATTTTTATAATTTATAAAAGTAATTATAAAGTATTATTACTTTTTCCCGAAAGGTAAGGGTCGTGAAATATTGATCGGTTTTTTAATCAAAATTTGGATACAACAAAAAAGTTTTAAAAGGAATATTGAGAAACATTTGAGAGAAGAGAATCACTCTCCCCAGGCCTTATGTATAATGCAATAATTAGCTACCAACTAAAACTAACACTTATCTCTAAACAATAGAGACTTGTTAGTTTTAACTCCCGATAATAAAAAATTTCAAGTTGTTTGTCTCCTTCAGGAAAGGTAATAAAATGAAGATAAGAAGGGTCTAGATATTGAATTTCTTTAAAGGACTTAGAACCCCTTCTAGAGAAAATAAATCTAAAAACAAAAATAGGACTTGGTAGAAGTCCTCCACTCTTCAATTTTACCTTGCATTCTTTATGATATATTAGCTTGAATAGGAAATACGAATACAAGAATCATTTTTGAAATTTGATCACTTGCTATTTTGAGTAAGTAGCAAACTTGAATTTAAAATTTGTCTTCTAACAAAATCTCTTCAACGAGATATTATTTAATTCTCCTTAGTGTTTAAAGTTTTTAAGTTATCTTTTGCCAATCTTTCTCCTGAGGAGTTGAGGAAAAATTTTTTCAATAAAAAAGTTAATCTTTGTGGTTAACAAATTCCTCAAAATAAAGAAATACGTATTTAAACATTTTTTCTATATTCTCAACTGTTCCGACAAAGAATAGATTTTAAAGACTTCAGTATACACTAGACTACGAAAGCAGTCAAGATTATTTGTAATTTTTTATGAAATTTATAACAATACATTTTCTGAGATCTTCTATAACTATTGTTGCAAAATAATTAAAGTGATCAATTTACTTTCCCTTTTTTTAAAGATATACATATAGTATATTTAAATAGGAGAAATAAGTATACATTAATTTGTTTGTTCTAGTTAGGGTTAAAAAAAACCCAAATTAAAATTTTACATTAGATACAGTAGAACTTCGATTATCCGTCATCCTATTTATCGCCAATCTCCGTTAACCGTGACTTAATCTTAGTACGTCATAATACATTCTGATATTGACGCTTCGTGTCACTCAACTCAGTCTTTATTTACAATTCATCGTCTCGGTAAAAAACTAAAAAATAAATAAAAAATAAGTTTAATTAAATTTTATTATGTTATATAATAAAACAAACAAGTTAGACGATCCGGTCATATTGTATATGCATAATTATTTCTAATACACGTTTTATCCGTCTATTTGAATGTTTATTATGAATTTCAATTCTGAGGGTTAATTAAAGATCCACTGTATGTTAACCCCTTCGTGCAGCAGGTGGAAAAAATCAACATACATTACATGTGAAATATTTCATATTCCATATTATTACTTCAATTTAATACGACAATAATTTCGACTGTCATAATATCGATTTTTGTTAAGATGTAAGAATAAAACAAGATAATAAACTCTTTAATCTTTTAAAACAAGAAAACAAAAATAATACTATTAAAGTTTCTTACAAACTAAATTTAAACAGTTTAAATTTTACTGGGATATGTCACATTCCACCTAGTGCACGGCGGGTTAATTTTAATATTTCAATATCTTGGATATTTCCGAATTGATTTTTTTAATTGTAACGTTCTCTCTCGTCTAAAGATACATCAAGAGATTATATTGTTATTTTTTTAATTATCTTACGTTCTCTCTTGTCTAAAAATACAGCAAGAGATTATATTGTTATTTTTTAAATCATCTTTATACATCTTGTAAGAATACATTGTTTGCTCGTCTTATCACGCAATTGATGCACTCGTAACACACAATTTTAAGAACATGATATATTCCGGAGAGAGGATAACTTAAAAGTAATTTCTTCTTTTTTTTTAGTTGCAATCCTCTTGCACCGAGATATCGATCTATCGGACGCTGTATAAAGGCCATTGGAGAAAATCCTGCGTGACTAGGCGAGAGGATTTAACGACCCTCGTTTATATCGCAGCAGCCCGTAAGCGCGAGGGCGGGCTGCGATCCAATTTTTTTTGCTTTCCCCTGTTTCGCGCTACGCCCTTCGTAATACGAGACGCCATTTCTTTCGCCTCACCCCTTACCACCTCATACCTTCCTCAGCGGAGGGCAATTACGTATGCAAAGAGGCCAAAAAGTAACGATCGGTTAGACTTATCCGCAGGATCTGCCGGCCGAAGCAGCATCCAATCGGTCTTTTAAGTTATTATCTCTTTGCTTCAAAAGGAAAATGTATAAAGAGATCGATAAATCAATTACGACTCGCAATAAATGTTTGATGATATTAATATAATGAACTTAAGCTTAAAATCAGTATTAATCATATTTGAACTGCGGAAGATTTCAGCTAATTGTAAGACGAATTTCCAAATGTAATACGATTTAATAATTTAAATGAAGATCTTGTGGGTCAATTTTAGACATGGTTTGAATTTTATTTTCTGCGATATCAATTTTTATAATTAATTAAATACAATTTATAGTTTATGCTAAAATATCCCTCTTATTTAAAAACAGCGGGCAAAAACGAAATTGCTAAACGGTGGTGCAGAGTGCGTAATGATATTGAATGGAATGCGAATATTCAGAGTAGTTTTTATTATTCCTGAAAACACGATTATTCTCTATAAAAAATTAACAAATATTAGACTTGCGCGATTAATTGGTTTTCACGATTAACGACTCGTAAATGTAGAGGCAGATATTTCGCGCGATTTATTTATTTCGAGGATAAAATTTTAAAAAGTAAAAGAATCCAAAACACAGCGGATGAGTTACAAATTATTATTGCATTGCAAGAAATGGAATATATTCGGCAGATCTTTACCTTAAATTGTACCTAGCTTGCGCCAAACTATATGCGATTCGTTATTTGAGTTTGAAATTTGAAATTAGTTATTCGTATGAGATTTGCAAATAATGTGAATAAACATATTCGAGTTCGCATTCGTCGTTGACCATTCATGTTCAGCGATATCTGGCTAGCTAATTCAAGGATAATTCCAGGACATTCTAGGTAAAAATCCTGGTTTTTCCATCGAATTTTCACTACTTAATTAATTTTTATTGATTTGTGCAATATTATATATTTTGTATATATTCAAATTAGGATTCTATGTAACGAATCAATTAAAATGCAAACATTAGATTATGCAAAATTTAGAACAATATTTATTATTTTAAAAATTGCTTACCTTATCGCATCTTTAAGGAAGAGCTTATGCAACCATAAATTTTTCTAAAAACAACGTTACCGATGTTATTAACATAATTCTTGCACGCGCGCAAGAAATACTTCTTATTTCTTTCTTTTTTTTTACAATCCAATTTTTTTAGAATAAAAGAATGACAAAAATTCAAGGTCAATCCTGAAATTCCAGAGATTTTCCAGGAATTTTCCAAGACACATGAAATTCCGTTATAATTCCAGGATTTAAAGATATTCAAGGATCGCTGGACCCCCTAGCTGCCATTGTGTTGTGCCGATTCATTAGCAAAGCTGTTTTTTTTTACTTAATGTTAAAACTTTATGATACGTTGAACAATATTTCGTCGTCAGTTGATACGTGACCTTGGTATTTGTTTTGCGGCGCGCTATCGCTCACGACGACGCTCAAGCGGGAAGGTAGTGGTGCGTCTCGATACACATTATTATTCTTCGAAGCGTGGCCATTCCCCACAAAATATAACATACAAGAAATTATCGATCCGACTGCTTTCCATAATCAATCACAAGTTATAAACGCATCGAGACGAATGTTTGTCTCGAAACGGACAGATCCGTTCATTCGAAATCGTAAATTGAAGCGACGAAGAACGCGCGGGAATCATAAGTCGTTGCATTTTAAAGTGTTGGCTATTTTTTGCATTTTGAACACGTCTCGCATTGCGTATATTGATCTCTTCGCCGATGTAAATTCAATTTGCCTTACATTTTCGTATCGAAAGCGCGCAGCAATACGTGAATGACATAAACCGTGATATACATTGATCGATTTATATAATACGTGTATTTTCGCTAGATTTATTGTACTGCACGTAATACCTAAATATCGGTTGTATATTTTCGGATGGTCTATCGTCTTTTAATTAGCCAACTTTATTTCATCAGTCAAACTGCGCCGCGCGATACCGAAATAAAATTATCGACATTCGCGAAATTTCTCGACTGCATTTTCGGTTGTCGAGCACATCGCGATTAGAATAGATCATATGCATCTTCATTGTCCATTTTAGTTTGGAATTGTAATTTTTTATACAATAATATTATAGAATTGCGTAGCCCAAATATGATATTATCGTTGTCGTTTGTGACTCGTTAAAACCTTTAAATATATAAGTATGGACTGATAGTAATTAACTTCATACGTGTCGCCAAGCTGGAAAATGTAGACTCCACCACAGTCAGTAATTTTCTGCAGGGAGGGAGGAGGCTCCTGTCAAATCAGCGTGTTTACAATGTATAAAGGAAAGGTATTGAGTCTGTTTTTAATTCCTCTCC